CCCTGTGCTGCTCCCAACCTGTACTGGTCCAAGGGGTTGTTCTTCCCCAAATGCAGACTCTACACTGGCCCTTCTTGTATTTCATTACATTTATCCCTGCACAACTCCCCACCCTGGGCAGGTTTCTTTGAACAGCAGCCCAGCCTCTGCAGTGTCAGCAAATCCTTCCAGCTTTACGTCCTCAGCAAATTTGATTTGCTGAAGGGGTAGCAGGTACTGGGGCTGGGAATCGCAGCTCTTGTGTGCAATGTCTCCTGCAGGGCAATCGGGAGGAAGCCGATAATCCCAACACCGGCATCGGTGCCTTCCGCTTCATGCTGGAGTCCAACAAGGGAAAATCGATGCTGGAGTTCCAGGTACGAGTCGTGATTTAACGGCACGGTTCAAGGGGTGGTTGGTTTGGTCTTGCAGCTACGTCTGTGGTGGTTTATATTTAAAATAAATGTGGAGCTTCCCTCCTAAGAGCACAGCTCGGGATTTGTGGCACTTTCAGGTGCTGGTGTAACAGGAAAATACTTTGAATTGGGTTTTTCTGTAAAGAAGGGCTGTGTCTTCTCCTGCTCCAGCGTTTCCAGTGCCTGCTGTGTAGGTACCTGGTGCTGGAGGTCCAGGCAGTACCTCTGGACATTGTAATTCAGGGCATTAAACGAGCCGTTTCATTTGTGGTTTCCATCCTCTCCTCATAAAACAGGAGAGACCTCACGTCTCTTGGGAAACCTGGCAAAGGTCCTTCATCCAAAGACATTTGGCCTGTGCTTTGCTTTCCTAAATTTGGAATTAGGAGCCTTGATTACTGCAGTTCTGTGCCCTCGAACCACAGCATTATCCGAGCAGTCTCCATGTCACTCTGAAATACGCCCAAGCTGTCCTGTTAACGACAGAACAGCTGTGAATTAAGAGTCCAAGGGAAGCTGCTGTAGCATTTATCAGCTCTGCTTGACGGAGCAGAAGGAGCCCGTGCGGAGCAGACGCCGCAGAGCTGAGATTTATCTGGGCTTTATTCCAGCCTTGCTGAGGAAACTGAGCAGAAACAGAGCAGAGCAGCCAGGTAAATAAAACTGCGAGTGACCCGATAGCCCCGCAGTGTTCTCGTCAGGCAGCACGGCTCTCCCTGCACGTACAGAGACGTCGTTAGGACAGCGCTGTGGGATTCCTGGATCCTTTGAATTCAAGCTTGGGCTTCAGCAGTAACTCAAAACGGTTCCTTGTGCAGACGGGTTGACTGTAAGCGCACCAACTGGGAGCTGGGTTTTTAGAAGAGGAGAAATGAGACCCTAACGCCGCTCCAGGCAGCAAAGCGGGGTTTGGATGCAGCTCAAAGGAGGCGCCGTCGGGCTGCAGTGTCGCTGCGTTTGGGGTTCTTTGCTGCAGGCAAACTTTTCCTGAAGCCGACTTCTTGCCTGGCTCGTTTCCCTTGAATGGAAAAACGCGATGGGCGGAAGAGAGGAGAGTTTATATTAATGGGGCTGTTTACACAGGGAGACTCTGGGGTGGATGTTCCTCAGGCTGTGTTTGCGTTGGGGAAACCTGGCTGGTGTCTGTGAGTTCATGAAGCAGAATTTGAGTGGCCTTGAGAGGGAAATCACAGCATCACAGCAGGATTTGGGTGGGAAAGGACCCCAAAGCTCCCCAGTCCAACCCCCATGGGCAGGGACACCTCCACCAGCCCAGGCTGCTCCAGGCCCCGTCCAACCTGGCCTTGGGCACTGCCAGGGAGGGGGCACCCACAGCTTCTCTGGGCAACCTGGGCCAGGGCCTCCCCACCTCCCAGGGAGGGATTTCTGCCCAAGATCCACTCTAAATCTGCCCTCTTCCAGTTTAAAACCATCACCCCTCGTCCTACTGCTCCATGCCCCAGTGAACAGCTCTTCCCCAGCTTTCTCACAGGCACCTTTCAGGTCCTGGCAGGTGCTCTAAGGTCCCCCTGCAGCCTCCTCTCCTCTTCTCCAGGCTGAACACCCC